TCCTTAAAAGGAGGCGTTAGGATGCAAATACTAAAAAGTATCATATACTGTATTTTTCGCTCCATAAGATGCACCTTTCCATAAGATGCACCAATTTTTTAGGAGAAGAAAACAGGAAAATATAATCTGTTTTCTTCACTCCATAAGATGCACAGACTTTCCACCCCTGTGTTTTGTGGGGGGAAAAGTGTGTCTTATGGTGCGAAAAATACGGTAAATACCATGCTAAAAAAACACAAACAACACCAAAACACATTCAAAACAGTAAGGTGCAATAATCCATTTAAAAATCCCACTCAGGCAGCCATTCACTCAGGGAAAGCTTGCCTGAAGAAAAAAGCCTTTGTCTGCATGCAGAAGGACAGCAAAGATGGGTCCAGCCTGGCCTCCTGTGGAAAGGAGTTCCAAAGTCTGGGACCAGACACTTTTGTTTTGAAGGTTGTTTTAACTCTTGTTTCCACCCTGTGACCCCAACTGCTGCATTGCCTTTGTTAGCTGTGGTATAGCAGCAATCTGGGCAGGGTTGGTGCTGCCATTGTTGTTGTTTTTTCTGCAGCAATGGCTGGAGGTCCTGTGGTGGAGCATAGGGGGTGCACTCCTGTTCTAACCAAAATAGGCTACTTTCCTCAAAGGGCAACCATAATAATAAAATCACTACATTTATACATTTCTAGTATTGCTGGTGAGGATAAGTAATGTCTGTTAATGTACCCCAATTACTCTGGACCGCAGAGAGAGAGAGAGAGAGAGAGAAGCGAAACCAACCCAGAAAGCAACTCCTATGCATTATGCCCCCCCACTTCTTTACAGGAAATAGCAGTTTGCTTTGCTCTGTCTTAACTTCTCAGGTTTTAGTTCTCCCACCCCACCCACCCCCTCGCTTTTCTCTGTCTCTTTCCTGATTTGGCTGCTTAGGGACAGCCAGGTAATGGAGAAGAAATTGAAAGGGAAAATACAGGGAAAATGTAAATGAAAAGAAGTTATTATAACTGTTATAATGAAGTGCCTTTCATTTAAATATAAGAATGTAACGCTGAAATGAACTTGTGATCCTGAAATGCATTTTTAATGAGTTTCCTTTTTATTTTGCTGCTTCAGTGGCATATTTTAAAGACCCTTTGAAAAAAGCCACATTAAAAAACCCCACCAAATGCCACAACATGCAAAATTGGATATTGGTTTATTCCAAAACTGCTGATCAGGAAGAGTGGCTCTTCAACACAAAATGTTGCAGTCACTTTATTTAAATGAGTTTGAATTTGCATTGTGATGTGCCATTCTGATTTAGAAAAAAAAAATTAGATTTTCAGATCAAATTGACCCAGCCAGTGAAGCGTTAAGGAACTGGCAGGTTTAGTCTGAAAGGCTCATGTTATATCAAACCTGCAGCCGGTGGAAGTCATAGAGCGCCAGTTGGAAAACAACTTTCTCACTGAAATCTTCCTCCTGTTACGATGTAAGAGTTTTGTTCTCACATATTTTTCCCTCTCATTCTCCCTGTAGGCGAACGCCCCTTCCAGTGTAATCAGTGTGGGGCATCCTTTACTCAAAAAGGCAACCTTCTCCGTCACATAAAGTTACACTCTGGCGAAAAGCCATTCAAGTGCCACTTGTGTAACTATGCTTGTCGCCGTAGAGATGCGCTTACAGGCCACCTGAGGACCCATTCTGGTAGGTGTCCACATTAGAATATTGTAGAAAAGGTTTACTTGCTGCATGGCCAGACCAGAAACCAAAGACCTATTGGGAGTTTTAGGTGTCTGAAACTATTATGCTTAGTTTGGATTCCAAGGTAGACTTGAACAACCTGAGAGGCATGACACTGATAACAGCTCACCAGCCATATAAGGCTGAGAAATGAGCTGTGTTCTGCCCAGTGGGTTTCGCAGGCTTGATTTACAGTTAGAAGGGCATCATAAAACTGTACATAAGAATTAAGTTATTCAAGACCTGCTTAATATATTCATGATCTTAAGTAGCACGGAGCAGAAGAGATGATGATGAGTTCTGAAGAACTATTGAAAACAGGGGAAATCATCCTCATTAGTGAATTATAAGGAAGAACTTATGATGCATAGTTTCAGAAGCAAATTCTGTAGTTGAACACCAGTAAAGACTTGATCTGAATTTAAGTTATGAAACAGGCTATATGTGAACCATTCATATGTACACCTAACTGAAAGATGTTTTAGGTTTTCCTGTTAGATAGGAGCTAGCAACGAAAGTCCTAAATTGATACGCCTTCTTGTGCTTAATAAGAAAGTACAAAAAAGATTATAATCTTGGAAGGAATTTGTGCACATGGGAACATTCCTGTACATGCACAAAATTTCAAAACTCTACCAATTGTTTCATGAACTATTAAAAACAGAAGCATACAATAGTTTGTGTCTTAGTATTTAGCCTATGCTTTTGTTCTTTATCTGTATGTGTATATTTCTGTACTTAGCTTCAAAAAAGGAAAATAAATTTGACAAGCTATTTTGCCAGGAGAAAAAAACATTTGTTTCAGTCTCTCACTCAAGATATATTGTAGGAGACTGAAAATCCTTGAAAGTCTGACCAAAAAAAAAAAAAAGATAACTCCTTCAAATCTGTGGTACAGGCCACTGTTGTGTACCATCAAGTAATGTGAAATGTTTAAGGAGTGGTTTTACCAGTGCATCCCTGCACAAGTGAGTTTCCATTTCCGAGTGGGAATTTGGAACCAAGTCCCTTGAATCGTAGACTGATAATCTATGTACTACCTCACCGACTTTTTTGTAGCTGCAAGTATTCCTGGAAACTTGAGTCTGGCAAATTTAATAGCAGAAGCTCCCTCACTGTTGGAAATCCATGTAAAGATGTTAGACTAAAGACATTGTTTGTCCCAAATACAATAAAAACATTGAAACAAATGGGAATTGTTAGTCACCACTTATTTGTTGTTGATTTCATTAGCTCTACTTTAGTAGAGACCAAAACTTGTTTTAGCTTATTTTTCTACTGTGAAGATTGTGGAATTGAGTCAGGAAAATTATTACTTTTCAAGCAGTGTAGGAAATCTACTAGATTTAGGTGTGCATCCTTTTCTTTTTTCTTTCTTTGCTTTCATTTTCTTTCATTTTCTTCTTTTTATATATATATTAGACCTAGTTTTGTACCCAGAGTGAATATTCTCTTGTGTCGGTATTACTTTGTCTATCGTTAATAGCCAAAACCACCTTTCCTGGAAGCTATAAGAGAAGACAGTAATTAATCTGATGTAGAATGGAAATGTTCCTTACAATAAATAGCTGAAATAGAGACACCAAGAATATAAGGAAGGTTGTCCATCATCTGTTTCCAAATGGATGGTTGATTCTAGGTGTTTGCATTTGCTTTACTCCGTTATTTGATTCAGTTGTTATACAGATTACGTTGCCCCAGGTGTTATTAGCTTAAACAGCAATTTCCATTTCCACCCCCTGCAGTTGGCAAGCCCCACAAATGTGGATATTGTGGTCGGAGCTATAAGCAGCGCAGCTCTTTGGAAGAACACAAGGAGCGCTGCCACAACTATTTGCAAACCATGAATCTCGCAGGCGGCCTCTATCCTGGTAAGATGCTAAGCAGATAGGCAAAACGAAGTTTTTTTCCCTGTAACTTCTCTCACTGCAAAATGCCATTACAAGCAGAGCTGGCACAACACTGTATGCAAGTGGCTATTTGGGGAACCATTATTTTAGACCATTGAGATGCATGCCAAAGACATTATTTGCAGTGTCACGCAGAGAATGTCTGGAAGTGATCTTTACATCATTGCTTAATTGGAGGGATAGGAAGGACTGGCAGATATTATACCAGAGGGTTGAGTGTTTGGTCATATTTTTTGCTCTTAAGTTTTCTGACTGTGTATTTTGTTCAGAGCAGTGCTGCAAGGGTTTCCTCTTTGCCTTGACCCTTCTCCTTTTTAATCAGTAGATCTCTTAGGGCTCGATCAAACCTGCCAAAAGAACCCCAGTTTTGGCTGTTACTTGAATCATTTCAAAATTTTCTTTCATATCACACACAGCTAACATTAATTCATTTGCCCCAGCAATCGGTTTATTTCCTCCTTGCTGCGAGGGTACTGTAGTTTTAAAATGTACCATTCATTCATTCATTCATTCATTCATTCATTCATTCATTCATTCATTCATTCATTAAAAATATTTTACCCTGTCTTTCTCTTTAAAAAGGACCAAAGGCAGTTTACAGCATTGAAAGACAATATTAAAAGATGAAAACAATGAGTATACAAAGATAGTTTTCATCATTAAAATACAACATTTAAAGCTAAGAACAATGAATTTAAAGAGGCAGTTTAAATCAATAAAAGACAATATTAAAGCAATATGCAAATATTAAAAAGGAACAAACAATGCCACTCTGAGAGATGGTTAACACAAGTAGTACTGAAGACCCAGTCAGAGCAGTAATGCGTAACAATCCATCTAAAAGTCACTCACGTAGCCAGCCATTGAGAGAAAGCTTATTCGAAGAGAAAGGTCTTTGCTTCCCCGCAGAAGGTGAGTCTGGCCTTCTGTGGGAGTGAGTTCCAAAGTTTGCAAGCAGCAACATAGAAGGCCCTCTCCTGTTTCCCCATCAGATGCACCTGTGATCATGTATCACAGGAAGAAAAATAGGAAGAAGTTAAGGATCTCCTCTTCTCTGACACTAGCCTTCTCCTCAAAAGGCATTTTATAAGACACAAACGGGAAAAATCATGGAGCAAAAAGTGAGGTAAAGAGTATGCATTATATATACACACATGCACTGAAGGCAAGGATTAAGACGAAGCCCCTCTGTGCTTCTGGTACTGCTCTTTTCTTTATGGAGCATATAATTCATTCCTGTTTATGAACAGCAAAGACATGAGCTATGATCCAAAGTTCTATGTTGCTGTAAAATGGGTATACAAATCCGCTGTCAATGTACTAAGGTTACCACATTGCCTTGAGCTCTAGGTCAGTGGTTCTTAACCTTTGTTACTCGGATGTTTTTGAACTGCAACTTCCAGAAACCCCAGCCAGCACAGTTGGTGGTGAAGGCTTCTGGGAATTGCAGTCCAAAACTCCTGAGTAACCCAAGGTTAAGAACCAGCGCTCTAGGTAATAGTGCCTGAATGTAGCTGTCCAAGATGTAGAAAAGTCAGCAGGACAGCTCCAGCTTCCACAGATTTTTATGGGTGCCCAGGTCAATTCATGCCCACACACATACATCTACACACAGGGACAGACAGAGTCAGGAAGTAGTTTGGAACTTAAGAACTGATCCACACTTCCAAGATAATAATGTGGTGGAAATGCTGCAGGCTACATAATGCAAATGAGTAAGAAGACTAGACTGCATCATGTTCTTTGTAATGTTCTGGGCACAGGGAAGTTTCTTGGTGATCCTTTCGCAGAGGAGAAAGTAAAGATGCCATTTAAAGGCATGTTTTGTATTATACAACCCGGTTCTTTGACAGCACAGATCTAAAACTATATCCACACTTCTTGCAGCATTTAACCTCTTTAGGTCAAAGATGCAAATTGTATACATGCAGCAAACTGCATGTAAAATGGGCTGTACATATCACTGTCAGTTCAGGAAAATGCAATGAAGTGGAACTGGGATTTAAGGTTATAATTTGTGTGATCAGCTACATTCCCTACACACCTTTTTGATCCTGGCAGTACCTATTACACAGCTTGTCAAGAGAAAGTTGCTAATACCACCTCTCTGGGCAATGCCTGGGTAGGTTTTTGTCTTGCTTTTAATATTACCAGATAATATCAATCATATGTATATAATAATGATTCTGAAAAGCAACCAGGAGGCTTTTGACAGACAAGCATGTTCAAGATGTGGTACCCCTTCCCCTTTTTCTGACTATGTAGGGAATGACTTAATAGGGCATGGGAGATGGACAGATTATACTTTCTGAATTAAATCATCACTAGTATTGCAGATGATACTGACAAGCTTTAGGAGCTTTGGAAATGTAATGGTTGTTGTCTTCTGGTGGGAGACATTGTGGAGTAGGAATCCGTCTTTTCTGGCCTTGTTGTATAGGTTTACTTAGGCATCTGTCCCACTGCATTAAGTAGGATCTTTTCTTTGGTTGTGTGTTTAGGATTGCAAACTATCTTCTTCTGGAAAAAACTCAGTTGTTTCAAAACTATTTGGTTCCTGTCTGTGCTACAAACAGCTAATTGTTTGATGCCAGTTGATGTGTCATGGCTAGAAATGGGGACAAACAAGGAAAACAGCAGTTCATTATGGTTTGTCGTTATTCATGAACTATTAACAATAAGGTTTCAGACAAAACAAAGTGCAGTGTTGCCTCACTTAATGATTACCTCATTAAATGATGAATCCACTTTGCGATGTTTTTACGATCGCTATTGCGATCGCAAAACAATGTTCCTATGGGGAAAATTCACTTGACAATGATCGGTTCCCTGCTTCGGGAACCGATTTTTCGCTAGACGACTATTCTAAAACAGCTGATCGGCGGCTCTAAAAATGGCCGCCCGCTGTGCAAAATGGCTGCCTGCTGTTTTTAGCATGGATTCCTCGCTTTACAGGCACCGGAAAATGGCCGCCCTATGGAGGATCTTTGCAAAACGAGCAGGTATTCCGCCCATTGGAACGCATTGAAGGGTTTTCAATCCATTTCAATGGGTTTTATCGTTGTCAAGCAAGGCATTTTGACTTAACAGCGATTTGAACGGAACGGATTATCGTTGTCAAGCAAGGCACCACTGTGTTTTGTGGTTCATTCCATTCAGGACTTCTGGGAGCAGTGGAATGGCGTCCATGTGAGTTCAAGATGCCAGTGAGTCTTCAGCTGACTCTCCTTTCCACCTTCTCCAAGTCTGGGGAAGACTGAATTTGGAACATCTTAGTTATTATAGCCTCTCGAAGCAGGTACTCAGCTAAAGAGTTGGGTAGCTAAAGAGCACTTTCCTGGGACACCTGCTTGGGGTTGGGGGGCTATAACTTGGCTGTCCCAAATCCAAACTTCACCAAATTTGAAGGGCATGAGGAGGAGAGTCAGCCTAATGGCCAATCTATGTTTAATGAAGATTGGATTTCAGATGTCCAAATCAGCCCATTTTCAAATCGCCAACACTGATAATAGTTTAGAATTTTGTTTTGTTTTGGAGAGGCATGTTTCCCCAAAGTGAACCACAAAACAGCTTGCTTTGTGTGGTTTTTGCTTCATGGTTTGTTTTGTGCCCATCTATAATTATGAGGGACATGGTGGCGCTGTAGGCTAAACTGCAGAAGCCTGTGCTGCAGGGTCAGAAGACCAGCAGTCGTAAGATCGAATCCACGCGACGAAGTGAGCTCCCGTTGCTTGTCCCAGCTCCCGCCAACCTAGTGGTTCGAAAGCATGCAAATGCAAGTAGATAAATAGGGACCACCTTGGTGGGAAGGTAACTGCGTTCCGTGTCTAAGTCACACTGGCCATGTGACCACAGAAGATTGTCTTCAGACAAAACGCTGGCTCTATGGCTTGGAAATGGGGATGAGCACCGCCCCCTAGAGTAGAACACAACTGCACAAAAATTGTCAAGGGGAACCTTTACCTTTACCTATAGTTATGGCCTTGTGTAAATTGTAGTTGCATATTTTGGTTAGTCCAACGCAGTTCACTGCAAGGAAGAACTGCTCTATGAATATAATTCTGCTTTCTATTTGTTTAAGATATTTCTATTCCATGATTTTGTTGAATTGTGTACCAAAGGACTTACAAGATTAGAACAGTTTCAGCATCACTATAAAAACACATTATAAATAAAAGTCACAAAACCATAAAAACAGTTTAAACAGTAAGCAAGAATAAACTGTAACTGAGAAGCTGTTCAAAAAAAAAAGATCTTTGCTTGGCTATCAAAGCATAATAAGATGGTTGTCAAGCCAACTTCCACAACTGGCCTTGACATGTCCTATGTTCAGTATGTTCACTCTGGATGCTTCCAAAAACTGTTTTCAGTTAAATCCAAGATTTCATGAGGGCCTCAGAAAATATTACCCTCCATTTGTAACCTTCACATTGCCTGTTTTGTCACCACATACAAAAAGTCACTTAAAGAGGAAAGGCTGAATAAATACACAACGTCCTTTGGCTGGTAGCAGTTGGAGCTGCTCGTATGGAAACATCTTCTGTTTCACTCAGATCACTTTTTACTGTAAACCTTTCCTGAGATTCAAACACTCATCCGGTTCCACCACCAAATATACATTAATGAGAAAGAAAGATACCATTTTCTAACCTTCCCTGTGAATCCTGAGATCAGTCAAGCAATGATGTCATTTCACCACCCACAGCTAGGAGTTGTGCTATGACTACCTAGTTCTTGGCCCACCTTGGCCAAAATGATCAGCTCACAAGTATTCTGTACAGTAGGCCCAGAGCGGAGCATATCATGGTTGTCTATATTTATTGAACTCATAGAAAGAACTGTTGGACAAATATGCCAAGATGCCAGGCCTCTTGCAGAAAGAGACCTCATATATTATTTTTATCTTATTCTTTCCATGTCATTTGAAGGAGAGGGATCTTGATTTTCACGGCAAGGGTACAAAAATATTCTAAGCGTTTTGGATGGGGAGGAAGAAACTTACTGCAGCAGGAAAACATGGCTCAATACCTCCTTGTTTATTTGAGATGTTTTGGTCCCGGGGAAGAAAAGTAAATTTCTGTCATTCTTCTAAGCAATCACCTCCCCCCCACCTCCCATGGTGGTTAAACAGTCTGTGTCACTTCATTTCATGGGCATTCAAAGCATGAGGGTAGCTGTCTAGAGGAGCTACAGAGGGCAGGTTTAGGGAAGGAGGAGTCACCACAGGCCAGATTCTCACTTATCTTCTGTTCAGTACAGAGGGTTATACTGTTGTTTCATTGCAGTTGTATATGAGTGCATTTGCCCATGCTTCCCCCACAGATACGTATAATTTTCATCAACCTCTTTTCATTTCATCTGTTATACAAATTCAAACTTTTTAAACTTTTTACTTTTAAAAATACCTCAGTATTTCTACATAGGCACTGGGTTTCCATGTGTAACAGTGTTCTTGTACAATTTGGGGGATTGGGTTCAGCACACATCCTTTTATAAGGATGATGGGATGAAGAGAGTTATTCTCCCCATTTAGCATGCAGTATATGTCTTGCTGTGGAAAAAATGATTATTTTCTGATGAGTTTTGGTTTTTAAGTTCAGCCATAACAACTCAGAAAGTCACCACCATCATAAGATCTCTTGTGGCTTTGTCTAGGGGAGGGCAAGTCTACCTCAGACATATTTGTGAGGCTTTTCTGTTGTTGTTGTTGTTGTTGTTGTTGTTGTTGTTGTTGTTGTTGTTGTTGTTGTTGTTGTTGTTTTACAACAAAAAGAAGCATTGGTTAAATTGCAGAGCATCGGACCATACCCTTGATACCTTTTCCACTGAGATCTCTAGGCTTTATTTACCTAATGAACTAGGACCTCTGTAGGTGTCTTCTTTCTAATAAAATTCTGGTCTCATTACCTGCTTTGTATATAGGCTTTTTAGCTAGAGAGTAGTTTAGAGAGGGAGAGGGAGAGATTGATATGATAAATACAGATTTGTATATGCCTCCATTTGAGTCATACTGTCTGATGCCCTTTAAGAGAGTTATAGACTGGATATCCCAAGCTTCTTTTCTCTTTTCACTGTTTTAGATTGTAGTGAGGAGAAAGGCGAGGACAAATATTTTAAATAAATACATAAATAATAAGTGCATGTTATATACTATATCTTAACAAATTCTGGAAGTACGTGTCTCTAAGGCATTGGGTTTTCTTTTACCTTTTTTTCCAGTCATGAAAGAGGAAACCAGCCAGGGGGAAATGGCTGAAGACCTGTGCAAGGTGGGGTCAGAACGATCCCTTATGCTGGACAGACTAGCAAGTAACGTCGCCAAACGTAAGAGTTCTCTGCCTCAGAAATTTGTTGGTAAGAGTTAAATGTTTGCTGCCACCTTTACATGGTTGGGTTTTTCCATGTTTTCATATCTCCGTTTTCCATTGTGCACAATTGCAAATTTGGGACTGTTATCCACCACCACCCCCTTCCTATTTCCCCATTCCTCAGCAGAGCTGAGAGTAATTCATATGGGAATCCTGGCTGGCCTCTAATGTAGGCATTGCTCAAGTACCTCTAGGTTCAGCAGTGCTACTACCTCTGATACTCTTAGATCACTTGCAAAATTATTCACTCTTCCTCTATCAGCAAATTTTCCATTTTCCACCCTTAGAGAACTTTTAATGGCATAGTGCCTCTTTTCTTTGGCTCATCACTGTCAGAAATGTCTGCTAAAAGAAAACTAAAGGGGAGGGGGGATAGTTACATGTTACATGTTTGCCACTAGGCATACAAATTACATTAATTTTCATAAGCATATTTATTCTTATAATGTCCCTTAGAAAACAAAATTAACAGAGTGGAATTTGTTTCACCCAGCTGCTCTCCTGGGTATTTTCATCATGGCAGACTTCAGAACTGGGGGCCTCCTGTCCATTAAAGTATTAATTTTATGTTTTTGTATCTGGTGTTAAACAGGGACTAGAGATTGGGCTTGTGTATTGTCCAACTCAATGCCTATGAGTCTGCCTATCTAAGCTAATCACTCTTGGGGGGGAGGAAAGGTCAAGTTTCATGCTGAGCTGCCCAATAAGATGTGTCTCAGGACTTCACAGATTCCCTGGCCACCGAGGTAGTATACCAAAGTATCCCAGGTGCCGAACACTTTTATGACGTACGTTTACCCTTTTGATATAGTTCATTACTTTTTGAAATTATGACTAGCTGTACTCTGTGGCAGTAAGGATGGCAAAGAAGATGCTCTTTACAATCTCTGTTGCATGTTAACCGTGTCATCCATTGCTGCTATTTGGAGTAATGAAGTTCCTTCTGGAACAAAATAAGTTGTACTTTTGATAGCATGCTCTGAGAAATTTTTACAACCTGAGGTGAAATCACCAGAATTTAACGTGACTTTGGTGGCATGTTTACTGCATTACCTCTTATTCCAGTAGCAGAGGTATTCTGAGCACTATCTAGACTAGTTGTATTTAAATGAGTTTCAGTGGTGGAGGATGGAGAATGCAGATAGGGTGTTTGAGTGAGTTAGACCAACCCTTCCTTCCTTCCTTCCTTCCTTCCTTCCTTCCTTCCTTCCTTCCTTCCTTCCTTCCTTCCTTCCTTCCTTTCTTCCTAATTTCAATTATATTTGACTTTTCTACCAATTCAGGGACCCAAGATGGCTTATGAATTAATTTTAAAAACCAGTTACAACTAAAATCACAAAAAGTTGCAGTGTTGAAATTTGATTGTATGCAATAATATTAAAATCATTTAAAACACATCAAAAAAGAAAAATGTTAGTGCATTGATGACCAAAAGTTCAGTTCTTAGCAGCCCATTCTGCAGCATGCCTGAAGAGAAAGATATTTGCCTACTCGCAGAAGGATAGGAGGAAGAGGCCAACCCAGCCTCCTGAAAGAAGGAGTTCCATAGCTTAGAGCTTGCCAATAAAAAGTCCCCCTCTCATGTCCTTGCTAGACATGCCTGCAAGAGTAGTGAGAGTCAGAGAAAGGCTTCTCCTGAAGATCTAAAATCCAGCAAGACTCAGTCACTGCCTGCCTGAAGAGAAGATAGATTCAAGAGGTTATACACTATAACTTAAGAGAAGGAGAGGAACCATCCTTTCCCTGTCTGTCTCTCACTCTCTTTCTCTCTTTTAAGGACTACATTGAACTCTGGGCATGAGGGCAAACCCACATTTCATGGTCTCACTTCCTTACCTTCATGGTAAGAAATCCTGTAAATTGCTAGATGAGTAGCATTTCCCAGCAGAGTGTGATGTAAGAAGATACCATATTGAAAATACAGTTTAGAGAGAGCCAGACTACAAAAGGTGGGATGGGGGGTTTATCAGAATGACATCGAGGTAGCCCACACTTCTTTCCATCCAGCCTCAATTCTGCTTTTCCCACACAGCAAAGTCTTTCTGCCATTCAGGTTATTTTTGACTCGCTTGTATTTTTGGAACATCTTAATGTTTCATTACAGTTCAGTGTAATCCATGCTTAATTTCTGGAAAAGAAGTTTCAATTCTTCAAAAACCCTCCAATTTATAAATGTGGGATTTTGTATCCACAATTCAAAATGGCAGGAAATGATACAATATTGCTGCATAATATCATGCCCATGTTGCCAGAAAGAAAAGGATGCCAGGCTTTCCATAGCAACAGGGAGCCTGAATGTTGCCAACATTAATGGGAGCAGTCAAAATGGTCTACAGCAGGGGTCCCCAACCCCCGGTCCGTGGCCCGGTGCTGGTCCGTGGGCTTCCTGGAACTGGGCTGTGGAGACAGATCTCCGCCCCCCCGCATGCACCATGGTGGGCGTGTTTGCCCTTGTGGGTTGGGTGTGTCGTGCTTGCTGGTGAGTGTGACACACCCCTCTGTGAGCTCGACACGCCCCTCCGCAAGCATGACACACCCACCCGTGAGTGTGACATGCCCCTCCACGAGCACAACATGCCCACCCTCAAGTGTGGGGGTGCCCCTGCCCCCCAGTGCACGGAGGTCGCACTCCCAACCGGTCTGTGGTCCCAAAAAGGTTGGGGACCGCTGGTCTACAGGATACCCTCTTCTGCTCAGGACCATTCACAAAGAACCACCAAGAAGGAGAAAATCACAGACTGTAACTCCTTTTTTTCATTAATCAACCACCTCTCACACAAACACAAAAAAACTGCCATAGATGTTCTTAGACAAGTGTCAATATTGTGCAGCCATATCAGGCTATTTCCTGGCATTTTGAGTCATGGATACAAAAAGCATAATATCCCACATATATAAATTGGAGATGTTTTGAAGAATTGAATTCCCTGGCTTTTTAAAACAGGAGTTTAAATATACATATGCTACATGCAAATTCAATCAGAAGTTTCCCTCATGTAGAATTGCCTAGTGCTACAGGATCCTAGAAGATGAATACATGATCTGTACTGTGGTTGCTGGAGGAAGGCAGAACCAAAAATGGTTGGGATATGGCTGCAGTCCCTCTGTGCCAAAATATTTTGAAGGTCCATTTTGGATTTCATGAGAAGCAAAAGTATAAGTAAGTGGAACACATGCAACAGAGAAATATACACATCTTTTAATCACTCAGGTAAATTAAAGTTGCTATGCCTGCTCCACAGTATGCAGACTAGAAAGCTATCTCTCAACTTCCACATCTTTTCTTTGGAGTAGGAAACCTAAGGGGAAAAATCTATAGAGGACCAAAAGCTCTGTGAACATGTTGTGTGCATATTTTCCAAAAGGTGACCCGTTGCCTTTTGAAATTAAAAAAAGAGCAGGCTAAGAGTTAGCAAAGACTGACACTGGAAACCAAGATCAAAATTCTCCAATCTATAGAAAAGAAAGACAGTAAAAAAGACAAGGACAAAGATCAACTTATTTAAAGTGTGATGTTGGACAAAATCCTTACAGATACCACAGACATCCAGAAAGGCAGAGAAGAGGGTACTCAGTCACATCAAGCCTGAACTTCCACTAGAGCAAATATGCATAAATGAAGGCTATCCTACGATACACATATAATGATAATACAGAATTGACCAGAAAAGATATTATTGCAAGGAAAGGGGGCGGGGGAGTAGTAGGAAGAGAGGAAGACCTAAAAAGAGACAGATTGTCTTAATAAAGGAAGCCATGGTTGTTAGTTTGCAAGATCTGAGCATAGCATCCTGGAAAAGACAATTTTGCTGCGGGTGGGGGGCAGTAGGAAGAGAAAACAACATAACATGAGATGCTATTGGTCTGCAAGATTTGTGCAGAGCTATTAATGATATGACATTTGGGAGGTAGTTTACTCATTTATTCACCACACATCGGAAGTGACTTGATGGCACATAAAATCACTTGAGTTTCTTTTTTATTGCCAGATAATTGTATAGTGACATGGCAGGTGGTATGGTTGAAACTCACAAGATACAGGCACCAAAGCTGTGCTAGCATCAAGTAAGACCATCCCCAGCCACAAAGCAAAAAGCTGTAATTTCACAGATTAGATGAGTGAGCTTGTGAATATTTTGTTCTCTACTCTTTTTCTTTCTGATACCTTTTAAAATATTTTTACAACCAGACACAGAATTCCTATTTGGCTAGGAAGGAGTTGAAAAATTCTCTTCCTTAGCATCAGGTGATTGATTCCTGGCTGTCAGGGTTAAAAATTCAATTGCCCTAGACCTGGAGTTTATTTCTTCTTTGAATCCTTGTGTCAGGAGCCTGGTCTCAGAAATCCTGAGAGAATGTTTACTGAAAGCAGTTAGGTCTGGCACAAATGTAAGTGCTCTGTGGTTTTGTAATGCAGAAATACTTTGAATATGCCTTACAAAATTGTATGGTAATTCTCTGGAGATACTGTATGTGGCAGAATGTCCCTTCCTTGAGAACTGCACTCGGTTATCTTCTATAACAAAAGTCTGGTTTTTTGCTCTTTAATGAAACCCTGGCTTTTGACCTCCAATTTTCCTGAGTTCTCCAAATATATCCCTTGCCCATGAAGCTCAATAATGTATCTACTTTGTAAAGGTCTTGCTGGGTAACCTATTCCACACATGAGTAGTGTGATAAGAAATCATTGTTTCTCCCCTTTTAAAGGCCTTTTTTGAGGAAAATATTTTAGCCTATGCAGCCTGTATTCTTTCCAAATAAAAAAAGCAGGTGGGACCAACCACTCTCTTTCAAGATAAGCAAGATTTGCCCTTTCAATTTCTATGAGCTATTTAAAATCTGGGAATGTTTAGCATTGCCTGTTTCTGAATGGAGGAAACAGTTATACATTAAAAAAATATTAACTCAAACATCCTTTGCCCAAAGTTCCCCATGTTTGGCATAGTGCAAGAGCAGACTATTTGCTACAACTGTACTAAATGTGATGCTAACTTGAAGTCCAGTTTAAAAGTTATAATTTATTGTTTAGGCTGCCCCCATTTCTAGGATTTCCTCGTAGAATGTTGATTTGCTCTGCCAGTAAAATATCATTGCTCTGCTGCAGCAATAATGCAGAAACTCCAAATCTGAAGCATCACTGCCTAATGCCTGGCATGGGTGAAAAGTGGTTTTAATGGGAAGTCAACAGCTGAGAAACAGATCTGGAAGTGAAGTTTATAAGTAAAGTTTAATCTGGTTCTAAATATTGAATCTTTCCTGCCTCTTCCAGCACCCTGTCTCTTTGGGGACAGTATTGGACAGACAATAGATATGTTAGGCTAAGACCAAAAAAAAGTCTGATGTCCTCCATGAAACCATCTGAATCTATGACTTTCATGCACCATGTTTTCTAAGTAAAGGCTGGATTGTCACTAATCCTGTACTGGGAGGGAGAGTGTATAAAAGAACTCTCTCAGCTCTGCTCCCCTCTTCTCTTTGCAGAATCAGCAAACAATGTTAGGGTTCAGTCCCAGTGACAACTTGAACAGATTCCTGTTCCAGCTTTTTTATATCAGGTTCAAGACACATGGTATATAAATCGGTAGCCACATTCACTTTGACTGAAATAAATTCAGTGTATTTCTGGTAATTTCAGTGGCTACACTGATGAAATCAACTAATTTCCTTTCTGTTTTAGGTGCATGCTTTTCACAGACTTTTTGCCTTTTTTTAGAAAAAATAAGTGGTGCAGCAATAAATTGATGGCTGCATTCATCTGAAAAAATGTTTGTTATGACAGTGCACTAAGCAATGCATTGCTAAACATTTCTATAAGAAAATTTTAAAAATAGGTGAGGTAAAAGAGCAGTGCTAGTGCCACTGACATTCAGCATTAACACAAAGTAAATCAAGAGCACCATCCACAGCCACCAAAGTGAAATGAATTAAATAATTTGCTTTGCAGTCCAAATAAATTGATCACACTGGTGCATCGTGTAATTCAGATTTTATAAATTGATCTAAATAACACTTAAATTGATTTAACTGTGGTTCTTATTGTCAATAGAACTGCACCCTTAGTTTCTTAATCAAGTAAGATGATTTATGCTCACGCCCATCAACCAAACAGTCTGCCTAAAAGGGTGAAAAAAGCCCTCACTTCTCCAAAACACATACACACACATACACATTGCAAAACTGGAAGAAGGAGCTGTTGTATAATTGAAATATTTGAGAAATTAGTAAAATGTGCATTTCAAAATAACTTACTAAAACTGAACTTCTAGAACTTTAATACGAATCAGACAAGTTTACCATCAAAATCCATACATTTCCAAAATTTATGTTACAGTTCACACAAAAAATGCACACGAACAGGTAATCATTCTAGACAATGTACACAAAATGTAGTTTTGAAAACAAATAATATAAAATATATTATTCACTGGGGCACTTCTTTTAAAATTGGTATTTTAAAATGCATACATTTTTAAATGCATTAAATATAAACAGATTTCCATGTAGATTGCAAAAAATGTTCCTAATTAATGAGGAATCAAAGTGAACTAGGCATAGCTTGGAGAAAATAAGATCAAAACAAAATCAGGCTTTACATTGCATATATTCCTTCTGAAGCACATAACTGAATTAACAATCACTGCCTATATTAGCTAGATCTAGACTGGATCTTGTTACCTTTTTGAAAAATGACTCAAAATTATAAAGTTTGGATTGCAGAATTACACATGAAAGTTCAACTGCCCTAGACCACATACTGCTTTCTGCAGTTCATTTCAAATGCCAGTTTACAGGACTGGATATTCACCCTCAAACTGATGTTTGAATCTTGAATATCTGGTGTAGGACTTTCAAAAAAGACTTCTTAATTTGGAATAAAATTGTTAATTGTTACTTGTGGTATGAAAGCAGCATTTTGTGGTCTCACTGTAACAGTTCCATGTCATTTGTCATATGAATGAAATATTTATTTAATTTGCTTGATCACATTCCATGTAGTGATGCTGCTCCAATTATTAACTCATATTACAAAATATTTTTACTCAGATATTCTGTCATATAAGAACATAGATGACAGCCCTAGTAACTGAGAGCCATCAAAACAATTATAGATTCCTATATAGATTTATCTTGTGCTGCCTCTGTTTCAGATTTTTTGATGGAGAGAATTGTAACTTTCATCCTAATATTTTGCTGTTTTGGATTGCAGGTGAGAAATGTGTACCTGATGTTCCTTTTGATGGTGCCAACAGCTATGAGAAGGAAAATGATATGATGCAGACTCATGTCATAGACCAGGCGATTAACAATGCCATTAGCTACTTAGGGGCAGAATCATTGCGCCCCTTGGTGCAGACTCCACCAAGTAGCTCTGAAGTAGCACCTGTGATCAGCCCAATGTATCAGCTTCACAAGCCCCTTGGGGACAATCATGTTCGATCCAATCATGCCGCTCAGGACAGTGCAGTTGAAAACTTGCTGCTACTTTCCAAAGCCAAGTCTATCTCTTCAGAAAGGGACCCTTCCCCCAGCAACAGCTGCCAGGACTCCACCGATACAGAGAGCAATAATGAGGAACGCAGCGGCTTGATTTATCTAACAAATCACATAGCACCTCATGCAAGGAATGGCCTTTCTATAAAGGAAGAACACAAGCAATATGATGTCCTGAGGGCAAACAGTGACAGCTCCCAAGATGCTTTCAAAGTAATCAATGGCAATGGGGAGCAAGTGAAAGTTTACAGATGTGAACATTGTAGAGTCATGTTCTTAGATCATGTGATGTACACCATTCACATGGGCTGCCATGGCTTCCGTGATCCTTTTGAGTGTAACATGTGTGGCTACCGCAGCCAGGACAGGTATGAGTTCTCTTCTCACATAACACGAGGAGAACATCGGTTCCACATGGCTTAAAACTCTTGCTGTACAGAAGATGTCCTTACAACTGGATCTCCATGAGCAGTCACAACAGAATAATACAAGACAAACGACTATATAACAACATCCAGTAAAAACAAACATCAGAAAGCCTGGTCACCAGAAAAAAATTGCCATGTCTTGCAGCATGACACATAATTCAGTTTTATACTATTAACATTGATGTTTTTATTGCACACATAAGTAATCAAGAAAGTTAGTATAGTCATTAGGAGCTTTTGTAGCAGATAGAAGAAATCTTTTCCTGCTTGTAATTATTTCCTGCCCCCCCAAAAACAAAGAAACCCTGTTCCTCCTATTTTCTTTCCATTCAAGGCACACAAACTAGAAAAATAGAATTAATTTTAACTATTTTTTGTTGATACCCTAAAAATACACTTTTTATATCAAAGATAATTTCTCACTTTCTGTAATGTTTTAATGAATTTACTAACTGATAGCAATAACTCACATGTAGAATAGGCTAAAAGAATCTTAGATACATCTTCTGGTAGTCTCAACCAGTTAAGCAGTCTGAAAGGCAGGAACACCCTACCAGAGTTGGAACTGAGCAGAATCAGAAGATTCCAAACTAGTGTTACCCATGACAACAATATGGGTAGCATGGCTGCCATTTTGTTTTTTACGGATTCATGGATAAGTGTGATTCAGAAGATCCTGAGAAATTAATCTGGGTTACTTTATTTGCTCTAGTTAACTTGTAGAAGTGTGGAGTGTTTTGGTCAAATTTAAATCCAAACCATGAAAGTCAAAACTGCAAGGACTTAGGACTCCGGTTCAATAAAAATATAACCTAATGTAAACTGAATAATTTCATGTCCCTGGGAAGCTCAATTTAGAGAAGCTGAGGGAAGACCTACATAGGGCCAAGGTACTGCACATGCAGAGCAGAGCTGTGTGCTTTTTTTGTTAGTAGCACCCTATGCATCATCTCAAACTATTGTTTAACTTCCTCCAGGTTTATAAAGCAACTTGCAATATTGTAAAAGGAAGAGTGGGATCTAGTCTACAACAAATGCGTGCTCTCAAAACTACAACAGCATAGCTGTATGATCAATACGTTGTGGGCTAGAACTGTTTGGTTTAACTCATTGTGGAGCTCTACTTCACTCAAGAATGCTGCTGCACATTATCTCTAGTTTAATACTTGTGAGTTGAATAAAACTGCATAAAATAAGACAAATATGGTATATACATTTGCAAAGAGGTCAGCTGTCCTGTTCTGTCTCAGCACGTTAGCAAAATTAATTCCCTCATAGTCTCCCATCCAAGTACTGACAAGGTCCAACTCTACTTAGCTTTTGAAATCAGATGAGATCATATATGCTCAAGGAGATATGGTGGCATTCCTAAAGATCAGTCTAGTGCATGGTTTGTAAATATTCTACCTGCATCAGACCTCTAATAATAATAATGTGCTCTCAGGTCAATTCTGACTTATGGTGACCCTTTCCAGGGTCTTCTAGGTAGAAAGTACTCAGATGTGGTTTACTGTACCCTTCTTCTAAGGTATCCTGGGTCTAAACAGCTTACCTAAACCACCTGTATTTTTTAAAAATCCTTTTCATTTTTAAAATGCAGCAAATATTTGAAAGAGGAGGAGGAGGAGAAAGTTTGCCTGAAGCAAATCTGAAAAATCCACGCTTTGCCTACTTTGCATTAGGACGTGCATCTTCTGCATATAGAAACAGTTCTCCCACGATTGCTTCAGTTTTACTACACAGTGGCTAATGACCATCTGCTTCCTAGAAGTGTGTTGAACAGGGAATTAGAGCAGTGTCTGATCTCTGACATGTACACATCTGTGAAACACATTTTATCAAACATGTTTTTTGCCATGTTCACATACACTCCATTTTTAGGTAGACACTTACAAAAGGTATGTGTTTAAAAATGTAATAGGTGGAGAGAGAAAAATATAATATTGGATACTACAGAAGAACCACAGGATCTTGCAAAGCCATAATGGGGTAGACCTTCAAATTCCTTATTTGAAAGCTGTGGACCAAAACCTTTTTAATATCAGCATTCAGTCTGACCATATTAACTCAAAAACCGGTCGTTTCTAAATTTATAATTTCTGGCTTTGTTAGTTGTTGCTGAAATTTCCCTGCTGCTACTCCACATGTTCCTTAGGCACTCTAGTGCAGCGATCCTCAACCTTTTTGGGACCACAGACCAGCTGAGCCTCTGAGGAAGACAGGGCACCCCCATACTCGCGCGGAGCACTCTTGGGCGTGCATGTGTGAAGCAGTGGGGAGTGCAAATGCCCACCAACATGAGCGCTCCCCCACCCCTTTGCACATGCGCAGGAGCGCCTCCCCACCCACGTGCCTGCCCACCCCTTTGTGCGAGTGCTCAGGTGCATGGGTGAAGGGGTGGGGGAGCGCTCATGTTGGCACTGGCACACGCATGCAAAGCAGCTGTCGGGAGGGGAGTGCGTGCGGGGGGCAGGAGGTCTGTCTCTGTGGCCCGGTTCAGCTCAGGCCATGGACCGGACTGGGCCGGGGACCGGGGGTTGACGACCTCTGCTCTAGTGGACTGCACCAAAAAAGACCTCTATTTTTCAAGGATTGCTCCATTTCAGTGGAGAAAACTGATCCATATTCACATTCCCAAGGGGGGAGGGGCTCTTCCTCCTGTGTTAAAATGAATTGCAAATGTTGTATACAAAAGACCTTTATGTGGAGTTGCCGTGGTGTGCTGGATAATCTAGATGCAAGTTCAGGTAATTTCTGATGTCTAAAATATACCAGTGTGTGTGCATAAAGGTCTGTGTATGTATTGTAGCTATACTTGTATAGATATCAACTAACACATTACCAGCATGGGTGTGTTTTTTGGTTCTTGGTTTTCCTATTTATATTGTAATTGAGTACATTGATACTGAAAACACACACAGTTCAGTGAGACAGCAAGCAGATTGGTAAACTACATGGTATCGGACGTCATAGCTCATTGCTTGAACTCTCCTATCTGCCTCTCCTCCTCACATTACCATGAATGAGTCTTGTTTATTTGAAAATATAGAATAACTGGATAATCTTTTTTAAAATGTATGGTTTTGAAAATCAGCTTTGTTCTGGATTATTTATACACTGAAATGAGTCAGCTAGATGGATTCCATTACATTGATGCTTGTTATTCTAAAATGTCCCACATTTGTAAATAGGAATAGATAAAGAAATGCTTTCCAAAATTCACACTCCATTCCTGTTTTGGCACTTCCTTTTTATACTTGTACTTAACACATTTTGCTGTGATTTTATACTGTAATCCCAGTTATCTTTTCAGATCAATGTATTTAAAACAAAATGAAGCAGATTTCATAAAAAAAATTAAGAATGTGAGTAGAATTTTGTCTGAGAGCGTAAACCTCCTTTTGCAAGCAGCTACGTGGAATTTCTGTTACAATGAATAGAATATGTGAACAGTTTGGGGATTCTCGTTCACTGTTTCTGGGTTAATGTAATGTACATATGTGTGGGAGAGAGAAGGGCAGTATTCAGTAGAAATGACTAAAACACAGTAAGGCCATAGTAATCTCTCAAAGGAACAATGGTCACTTCCTCCAACCTTGTTTCTCTTTCATGCTGATTTTCCCTAAGGAAAAACTGAAATGGAAATTCGGCATGATGCTTAAAATAGCACTGTTTTATCCAAGAATGCCCAAGAAAAATTAATCAAGTATCTGACTAAGGATAGTTGGGAGTTCAGTTCCCCACTGTACCTCCTGGGAGAAAAGCCAGCCTGTGTAGTCATGGACAAGCTGTGGAGTCCCAGGGAGCCCCCAGAAGAAGGGAACAGTAAACTATTTCTAGGTACCCACTACCTAGAAAACTCCGGAAAGGATGGCCATAAGCCATAAATAACTTGATGGCACATTACTATTATTAATCAAATATTACTTCTACTTAGCAGTAGTCTTGCAAGATTCATTATAAGCATCTTCTTTGTGACTCTGACTTGTTTCTGTCACTTCCTGTTGAGCTCAGAGCAGAATATTTTATCAGTGTTCTCCAGCGTTTCTTTCTTTTGCATATAGCCATTCTCCTTTCTTTTTCCTCTTTTTTTAAATGAAATAGCACTACAGTATTTTGCCATAGAAGCAAAATGAGCCCTCTGTCTAAATGAAATAGCACTATTTTGCCATAGAAGCAAAATGAGCCCTCTGTCTAAATGAAAGTGACACTAGGGACAATTAAATGTGGGCACACAAGGCAAGGAAAATAATGCCACTGCACTGCTTAAAAAGGAGCAGTATAAGAGACATTGCTTGCCCAGCCCAGAATAAGAGTTGAGACACAGGAGTTGGATAAAACTAGGGCCACAACTTTATTAAACTATTTAAACATTGATTTCCCCTTACCGCAAGATGGCTTACTGTAGTGCGACAAAACTTCATGCAAGGCTCTAAGAGACAGTGGTGTTTGGTCCATTTCATACCTTGCAATGAATACCATTTGGTATTCAGTTCTTTTGAAGTCTGATTCTCTAGACCAGAGGTCCCCAGTCCCTGGTCCATGGCCTAGTACCGGTCCATGGCCTGAGCTGGACTGGCCTGGTCCATGCCCCAGTACCGGTCCATGGCCTGAGCTGGACTGGGCCGCCAAGACAGACCTCCCGCCTCCCCCTGCACGCACTCACCCCCATACAGCCTGTTTATGCCTGTGCACATGTTCCAATGTGCCCTTGCAAGCACCATGACGCCGTTTGTACATGCCCTCTAGAGAGAGCGCACCTGCACAAGTGCCACACTAACATTTGCACATGTGCACACACATGCAAGAGAGAGCACTCATTCGCACATGCTCATAGGCACGGGGGATGCCCCTCCTTCCCCAGCTGGTCCACGGGGTTAAAAAGGTTGGGGACCCCTGCTCTAGACCTTCCAATAAGAAATAAAAAGAAAAAGCAAAAAAAGAGGTGTTGCAGCATTTTTAAGACTAGATATCAGCATTGATCATATTACTGCTTACAGTTAGTCTTTAAAGTGCCACCGTGCCTTTTTTCCTCTTTGTTTTGTGTTTCTTGTTAAAATGTTTGTAAAGATTTACACGGCTACAATTCCAAAAATTCGTCTTTCTCAAATATCAGTGTAATGGGACTGACCCTCCTTGAGATGGCAAGTAAATAATGTAGCCACAGGACCCTTAGGTTTTACCCTTTTGTGTCATATTAGCATAACTTTAGAACATGAAGGAAATAATTTTTCAGATGCCAGATTGTTATCTCTCTCTCTCTTTTTATTTTTATTTATTTATTTATTTATTTTTGACACAGGATTTTGGCTTTTTTGTTTTACAGTTTGAACATATACAACCAGAAGTAAATACCACTCATGTTGCTGCCAAATAATTATGGATAGGATGCCCATAAACCTGGAAAGGAGATTTTATTTTGGATGCCTACATTTAGCCAGAGCATAATAGCATATAGAAAAGCAAGCTATAAGATTTGCAGTGAAATGTATAACTATCCTATAGGCATGACCATGAGTTTTTCTTGGATAATGTGATAAGGGGGACTGCCATGATGAGGTCTTCCACTACAAGGGCCCAGTCTGTGATTTATTCACATTCTTGCAGAAATTATGCCAAGTTTAAAGTCAATTCAATTCCAAGGCATTACTGGTTTATGTTCAGCACTCAGAGCACTGTCCTTTCTCTAACTTCACTGTTTCTAATATGTTTGGTTAACAAATCAAAGATACTACATATGCTTTCCACTGTTTGACTTTTTCAAAGATCCTGGAATAAGATTTCATGTTTCTATTATGTGACTATGCACAAGAGTGTCTTTTGGTTGACTCCAGAAAATCATGTTTCTTGTACATCTTATTCTTACCTAATAGTCCTGTTCTATACAATATAGTATAATACTATAAGTCCATAGCAACTACGGGGACAGAATGCAGGAGCTTAGCAAGATACATAAAATATTGACATCCAAGAAATAACATGGCTTGATTTCCAGTGTGTCTTTCTGAGGCTCAGGCATACCTGAATATTCATTAACACTTTATGACCTTCCACTGAGTTGTGATGGTTCAGAAGGGGGCTGGGAGTTTTGCATATTCTCCAAGACACTTTCCTGTTGTAAATGTACACATTTCTTTATTTTGTATCATTTGTAGACCACCTTTCTCCAAATTAGAAAATATGCCTTTGCACATATCAAATAATGAATGTACAGGGAAAACATCCGTCCATGTTTTCTGAAGCCCAGATTACCTAATCTCTGCACCAACTGATCTCACAACAGTTATGTCTTTCTGTTTATATAGCTCTTATGTACTCCACATATACTAGAATTTATACATAAAATAAATAACTCTTTACATGAGATGTCACGTTTTAACACAGGAAATGCAAACAGACCTTTTCTAGAATACTTTCTCTTATGAATCCATGAGGCCCAGTTACACCAACATGGATAGAGATGAATGTACAAATGCAGGCCTCTGTTCAGAAGGGATAACAAACCAGAAGAATATGTGGATGGATTCATGTCACACCTACATTACAAGGCATACCCAGGTTGAGAAACTTGACATTCCATAGATTTTGTGCTGCCCCAGTCTATAAAATGTACCTTCTGAAGGAAGGATAGATGAGGTGAGAGAGGGACTGAGCTGTTGTTCATAAGAAACATAAAAATATATTTTAGAAAATTGCCTAAGACTGGGTTACTGTTTTCTGATTCTCACAGAAGTCCTCCTAAACTAAGGGAGGTTTCCTAGTTTTTATCTCTCTCAGACACGCGCAAAGCATATGGAGAGCAGAGGTAGCTGCCAATATAGTCCCTTCAGCAGACATCAACCAACGCCTTCCTGTCCCTTGGGAGAAAAGTAAAGGCTTTGGTTTGCAAGCAATTCAGAAAGAAAAAAACCCACATCTACACCTTGCAGCAGATAGCAGGCCTTGGGCTGGTTGGGTGAGGAAGTTAATCAGCACTGCACAGACTGTTCGGGATGAGGCCAAACAGATGGTTAGTCTCTGAAATGGCAAAACGGGAAGCAGATGTAGCCACTGCTTCTCCCCATGCATAACTGGGAACCAACCAATTGGGGAGAAAATTTGCATAACAGGGATAATTTGGTATCAAAACTGTACTCTTGAAGTGGTCTGCATGGATCTGGGTGCAGTCAACTGTTTTCACTTCTTGTTTCCAAGTCTCTCAAGTCTGGCCAGATTGAATTTTTATTTTCAGTCTTCTCTCCCTCAAACAACTAGTTTAGGGATTCTTGCACTGCATATGAACTGCCCACCTTAAGAGAACCAGTGAAGCATGTCAGAACCAGGTAAACTAAAGTTCAGAATGGTGGCTTGGGGACCGTTTCCCCGTCTTCCCATGTTTAACAGAAGAGGAGGGAGAAGGAGATGAAGCAGGGAAGGCCACACAGCACACATTAAGGCAAAAATATCAAGCCTTACTGAAATTGTGCCTGTTCAGAGTTCTAGTGAGGATATACAGCCTCACAGAAAACAGACTCCTCAAAATAAGCCTCAAACACCATTGAAGCACTCACAAAGGGGAGTGCTTTTTAAGCATTCTATGGCTTCAAAAGGGAACACACTTTCTACTAATCCTCTACACCCAAGGTTTCTAAAGATGCCCCATTTTGTTCTAGAAATTGTTTAAAGCAAGACTCTGATACAGAAAACTGAAAGGGCTCTGTTGCTGTGATAAATTGTGTTAGTCCCTTACATGAAACACACTAATTCAGCTTATAACTTGCAGTAATTGTAAAGCCATTGCACTGATGTTTGAAGACAGTGATTTCCAACCTTGGGTAACCCAGGTGTTCTTGCACTAAAAAGTCCCAGAAGCCTTCATCATTAGCTGTGCTTGCCAGGGTTTCTGGGAGTTTCTGGGCTACCCAAGGCTGGGAACCATTGTTCTAAGACATAGCTAGGGGCTCTGTGACCATGCTGATGTCGGACTCCAACTTCCATCTTCAGGAGTCTAGCAGGGAAGGGTGACTCCAAAGAAAATCAGAAAAATGGGGATGAGGTATGGCCCTTGTACAGTAACTACAGTAGTTAAAAAGCTATCAACCCTAGTGACGATCGGGATATTTCAGTTCCCAGTTTTCTTCAACAATCTAGGTAGCATGAAATTTATGATGACTCCTGTGTTTCCTTCAGCATCCTTCTGCAGCCTTCTTGAAGTGACCATGTTCCAGTCAGATATCTAGCTGTTAATGCTGTGCTCAGTGCCATCCCAGCCTTGACCTAAAATTACAAGTTACACCACAATGGAATTACCTCCTGTAACAGTACTTAAAGTAACCTTTGCAGTGGGCTGAACCTTTGCAAGAATTACATTGTGGCAAAAATACTTCATCATCTACAGGAAAGAGCAGTAAGCATGACCATGGCAGTTTTCTGAGGGGACGACTATACTGACTGTTGAGATGCAGATACAGAAGCC